CCATTTTGTGAGAACTTTCACTACCTTTTCTAGGGAGAAATTATTATTATTATTATTATTATTATTATTATTATTATTATTATTATTAACTTTTCTATCCAAATGGTTTAAGGATGGGTTTTTATTTCAATCACATTTTTTTCTTTACTTTTTAATAAATAAAATAATATTATAGAATCCGTCAGAGAAAACTGTCAATTTCAAAAGAGCCAGTGAATATAGTGAACACAACTTATTTCAACATATTCAGTCATCGTCTTTTAACTAGAGTGTCCTAGAATGGGTTTGCCAGTTGAGACGAATTCAATCAAAAACTTCAGATTAATTTTAAACCTCTTTCTCACATAGGAATAGCAAAAGAAATAGAACAGGTTCCAGAAATCTACTGTATTTGGCTTAAACGGAGTAACTACTGTACGGTAAATACCTTGTGTTTAATTGCCCCCTACCGGTCATAAGTGTACATTGCTGTCCAAACTAGTAAAGCCATGGTGAATACTTCGAAATTAAGAGACATTTCCTCTGATTCTAAGCATATTCCCTCAGACTAAGAGCGCTGAAATCCTGCACATTATGATCTGATGATTTCCTGTTCCATTTTCATACTGGTCAATACTCTTCTTTTGTAATACTCTCTTAACAACTCACCTGAAGATACATTAAATGAATTCTGAAAGTATGTCCTGAAGAGTAATATGTGCAAAGTTTGCTATCTGGGATCCATAAAATTTGATCAATGTCTTCAGGACAGCAAGGTGACCCTCCTAATGTCCAACTCTGGGCAGCTCTGTATTTGTGTAGCACCTCACATTTTTTTTTTGTTTATTTACTGCATTTTTATTGCACCTTCTTCTCCCTGTAGCTCAAGGTGGTGGAAACGGTTCTCCCCCACATTTAATCCCAACAAGAACCCTGGGAAGAAGGTTAGACTAAGAGGAAGTGACTAGCCAAGGTCACCCAGGGAGCTTAAGGGCAAGTGGGGATTTGAACCCTAGTCTCCCAGGTCCAAGTCCAACACTTTAGTTTGTGGACCATACTATTTTAAATTGTGAACCACAACTCAAAACACCACAAGCTTGATTAGATCCATTTTATCTCTTACCTTGTAGGGTTATTGTGGCTGGAGAAACGGTGGAATACACATGGAAGACACACAATTTCTGTATGGCATTACACAGAGACCAGAGCTGAACTGGAATCTGATCACATCTGCTTTATCTCAATGTGTAGTAACTTATTTTTATTTTTCATACCTTGTCCCAGATGCGCCATTGTACACTGAACATTACCCCTCAGATACAAAATTTCAGAATTCTCCATTGCATACCTTTTAATGGTGCTGGCAATAAACATTAAATCACTGCTTCAGTTTGCTTGGTAATAACTGCAGTAATAGCTCTTGCACCTATGATGATCACTGACAGTGTAGCTTTGTGCTGCTCAGTCTCAAGTTGTTTACACAGAAGCCTTTGCACAAAGAGCCTTTGACAAGGCTCCAATTATTATTTCATTCCTTTTATGGCTGGGGGGAGTTTAATAGCAATCAGAGACTGTCAGAGTTTGGTTAACCTATCCAGTGTGTGAAGGAAGGAAGGAAAGATAAACTTTGGGTATCATCTGGTAATGGAAGTTTTTCTGTTTATCCTTACTAATAGCTTCAGCTATGTGGATGTAATTCACAACATTTATTATAATAACTTCCAGGGAATATAAAATAGTGCACTTTGAGTTATGATATGAAACTAGGCACAAACATAGTAACCCACTCTAAACACACACACATGCCTCCCTAGTAATATCTTTTTAGACTGTATACTTCTGTATTTCTTTGTTCTATGTGAAACAAGCCTTGGTTATATAGCTAGGCAGGGATAGCGAACCTGTAGCCTTCAGATGTTGTTAGATTCCCATCTGCCTCAGCCAGCATGGCCAGTGGTCAGGAATGACCAGAGTTGTAGTCCAACAGCATCTAAAGGGCCACAGGTCCCCCTTAGTAGAGCTTGGGTGTAGCAGCTATGCATGCTGCCATGGGCATGACTGACATGAGATGATGGGGCTACCTTTGAAGATGACCCGGAAACTGCAATTAATCCAGCATGCGGCAGCTAGACTGGTGACTGGGACTGGCCGTTGGGACCACATAACACTGGTCCTGAGAGATCTGCATTGGCTCCCAGTACGTTTCCGAGCACAATTCAAAGTGTTGGTGCTGACCTTTAAAGCCCTAAACGGCCTCGGTCCTGTATACATGAAGGAGCGTCTCCACCCCCATCGTTCAGCCCGGACACTGAGATCCAGCGCCGAGGGCCTTCTGGCGGTTCCCTCCCTGTGAGAAGTGAGGTTACAGGGAACCAGGCAGAGGGCCTTCTCGGTAGTGGCACCCACCCTGTGGAACACCCTCCCTTCAGATGTCAAGGAAATAAGCAGCTATCCTATCTTTAAAAGACAGCTGAAGGCAGCCCTATTCAGGGAAGTTTTTAATATTTAATGCTGTACTGTTTTTAACATTTGATTGGGAGCCGCCCAGAGTGGCTGGGGAAACTCAGCCAGATGGGCGGGGTATAAATAATAAATTATTATTATTATTATTATTATTATTATTATTATTATTATTATTACTATGTGGGTCTGAATCCACATCTACAGTGCTGTTCAGGTCCAGCACCAGAGGTCAGTGGGCACCTACTGAGGCTCACATCCAAATAAGAAGCTCATTACTGATCTTTGGAAGGCTCCAACTAAGCAAGCCATGAGGGCAAGCGACCTCTGCACACCTTGACCTCTTGTTCTGGGAAGTGAGGTTAATTGGGCTGAGGCAGAGGTAAGCAGATGGGCAGCAGGCAACAGCGGTGAGGAGGTGGAGGTCAAGGATGCTCCATAACAGTGTAATTCCTCTCAGTTTGGTGCCACCTCAACACCACCACCCTTCTTCATCATCCCCTGAGTGTTCTCTGTGTTGGGAAATGGTTCAAAGAGGGTCGGAGTTTGCAGCAGTGCTTTGAGGCTGGCATGGGTTACTTCAGGGAACTTGCTTGCTGCGTGGATGAGGAGGAAGGCAACACTCCTGGCTTCTTCAAATTTCTGAATCATCCTGGACACCAACACCTGTGTGCCAGAGGGTGATCCATCAAGCAAAAGTGGACTGCCATCTCCTGTTCATGGGCCTGACCCAATTATTTGCCAGTGCAGAATAACCCTTCCTGTTTAGCGCCTCTTGTAAATATTTCCCATAAATACTAGAGTGCCCTCTTGTGTTTGAAGATTTTTTTAGAGAGAGGAATGCAATACACAATTAAAAGCTCACGCTGATCAGTTCAGATATTGTATGATTATAACGGTATTGCATTCCTTTTATTCACCTTGTCATCTGAGCCATAACCTCTTCTCAACTTACCATGACAACCAGTTCCTATGTACGTATGTACTATGCCGCATATACTGTGTTACTGTTTCCTTTACTTTTACTAGTAATCCTGCTCTTAGGTTGGTAGAACGTTGTTTTAATTTAGTTTGGGACTTTTTGATGGGATTCATTGAGCTTCTTTGCAATCTCCCTTTCCTCTTCAGTATACTGAGCCCTTTGCTGCCTCAAAGTCCAAACACCTTCCTAGCCAGTTCCCGCTTTTAATGTATTGATTTTTTTAAAAAAATGTGGGTCTTAATGGCTCTAGCAATATTCCAAGTTGAGGTTTTTTTTAAATCCTTTATTGCCTGCATTTATTTTACCAAAGTTTGTTTTCCTTTTTGTTCTCCTCATTTGGGCAGGTCTTCCATTTTCTGAACCAAGCCTTCTTGCCTCCAATAGCTTCCCTGATTTTGCTCAATAGGTATGCTGGCATCCTCTTGTGGTGCCTTTCCCAATTTGCAGTATGCATTGCAGCTGAATTTCTGTTATTGTGGTTTTCTATAAACCCTAAGTATTCTGGAAAGATTAGATCCTTGACTTTTTCCCTTTCAACTTCCTTTTTACTAAATCCCTCATTTTGATGAAGTCTCCCCTTTTGAAGTCAAATATGACTGTTCTGGATTTCATTACCAAACTAAAAACTATGGAGAGACCTGGTCTGAACAGAGATATTGGATTCATTTCCCATTTCTAAAGCTAATTTTGGTCATCTATCACTTTAAAAATCCCTTGCCCTTCACTGTGGAACCAACTGCCATAACAGTCATCAACCGTTATAAGGTTGAAGATACTCTGCTTCAGAGTATCTGATGAAGTGTGTATTACACAGGAAAGCTCATACCTTGAAAGCTTATATTTAGTTGATCTTAAAGGTGCCACTGGAATTATTAAAAAAGATTTTTTTCAACTTTCATCTTGTTATTTATCATGTTCTGGATTTCCTTTGCAATTGTCCACTTACATATATGTTGAATTTGATAGCACTGTGGTCACTGTTCCCATTTGATTCAACCACACTTACATCTTGTCAGTTGAGATCATCAGACAGGACCCCCTCCCTGTTGAGCACCCAGCACCTACTGAATACTTTTTTTTTATTCCAGCAGGTATTTTTAACTGAAGTCTGATGTAATCAATGTCAACTTTTTCTGCGATGTATTTCTTGTATGCCACTTCAGAGATGATTATAGTAAAGTGGTGTATAAGCTGTTTAAATAGTAAATAGTTAAATGCAATTTTAAAAATAATTGTATAACAAGGGGAAAAAATACTTGTATCTGAACATATTTTAATTGACAGAGACTTCAAAAAATAGCATCCTAGCAATAGGTTAATTTTATGGAGTTTAAAGCTAAGCATACAAGTTCTAAAAGCATGCCTTGAAATCCATATTAACTCTAGTATGCTGTCGGGGGAAGAGGGAGATGGAGGGGAAAGAGGATGTTGTTGGTTGAAATGAAGTCCGATCCTGTATAGATCACTAATGGAAGCGCCAACAGAAACGTGTACAGATTCCACACGATCATGAGGAAGCCCGCATCTGGCTTGTCTCTTCGGCGTAGTCACTAGTGGAAGCGGAGCGGCTGTTATTCGTGGCTTCTCCTCCCAGGTCTGAGACAACAGTGGTCGGGGGACGGGGGAAGCAAGAGGATGAAGCCGTATAAACCCCTCCACGGGCACTGTGAAAACAGACTCCTTTTTTCTGGATCTTCCCCGTGCAAAGTGGACGGCTGTCTTTGTATTGGTGCGCCTAAGTGTTTAATTTGTGTTTAATTGTGTTTAATTTGCCAAGTAACTGCAAAAAGCGACAGGAAACTTGTTCCCGAGTAGTATTGTTGAACCGTATGCAGTTCCTCTGAGTCAGCCTGGAGATTTCAGAGGACCTGAAGGCAGCAAGAGGAGGAACGCCTCTCTCGGACCTTCATTCATTCAGTCCTCAAAATAAGCAAAAATAAACAAATCCTGCCTTGTGTGGTCTGGCAGTTTAGAAAAAGCCTGATTCCTTCCTCTTTTTTTAAAGTCTTATTTGGTGCTACAGCCCCTCCACCACGAGGTGGCTACGGACGAAGGCGGAGGGAAGTGGGATCGGATCATAAAGAAACAGAGAATCGTTCAAAGCGCCATGGAGTGAGACCCCTTGACAGCCTCGGCTTGAAACAAGCCACGCCTCTCTGCTTCTGCACAAGAGGAATGAAGAATGAAAAAAGTCTACTCGAAAGCCTTTCACCTCCCCGCCCCCCGCGCGCCATCCCATCCCCGCTCGTCTCTCTCCTGCATCCAATGAGAGACGGGTGGGCGTGGCTAGCCTCGTTCTGCTCCGAGGATTCCTATATAAAGCACCGGGAGGGCGGCGGTTCGCTCTTTCGCTTGGACCTCGAGGAAGTAGGTCAGCGTTGGGTGCGAGAGTAGCCGTTAAACGGAAAGGGCCGCCATTTTGTGGGCAGGGTGCGCTTTGTCACTCGCGCTCTCACTGAAAAAACGGCGCTTAAAAAAATTATTTTCGCGAGCCTTCCCTCGGCGTTAGCACACCCCTTACCTTGGTAGCTTTTGGGGGGCAACGAATGAAGGCTACGTGGAGGCGCTGCGCGTGCAGGAATTTCGTGGTGGGGTGTTGTAGGCTGGGATTGGCAGGCTCCCTCGCACGTGGAGGCTTGAATTAAGAGGATATTTTTAATGATGTGGTAAAGTGGGGGGAGACCCGTCTTATTGTTTGGCTAAAAGGATTGAGCATTTTTTTTATCCCACGTTTTTCCCCGCCGAAAATCGCTCTCCCACGTGTCTTCCCCCCCCTGCAAATTTGGAACAAATTAAAAGTGGGGAAGCGCGTAGCTACAGGTAGGAAAACCACGAGGGAGGAAGAGAGGTTCTCGCCGCCCCTCTCTGGGGATCTCGTCTCCACCTCGCGGCTGATACTTTATAAAAAGCACGAGGGAGGAGGTCAGGAGAACGGGCGAGCCCATCGTAAATAAATCCGGCTCTCAGGAGCAGTATATGACTGTAATTCTTAGCAGCGGCCTTAAGTACTTGCTAGGATTTCTCCCAAATGAAATGAACGTGACTGAAATAGGGCTGGGATTGCCTTGGTTGCCTATTTAACATACGCCAAATTTCTAACATAATCAGACTAATTTCATGAAACCTTGACCCACTAATCTACTGTCTTAATAACTTTGTTCACCTGCTGATTAAGATTTCACTAAATCATAGAATCAGAAGGCACCACGAGGGTCATCTAGTTCGACCCCCTGCGATGCAGGAAACTTTATCCATGACTTGAACCCACAATGCTGAGATTTAAGACTCATGCTTTACCAACTGAGCTCTCCCTTGTCTACATCTGATGAAGTGGACTTTGTCCATGGAAGCTTGTGCCATAACAGTCATTATGTTGCCACAAGAGGTGCTCTTTGTTGTATGCTGCAAACCTGGATAGCTGTGTAATCTGATTTTAACCCTGTCTTACTTTATCTCTGTTCCAGGAGCTATGGAACTAAGATTTGTGTTACTATTGCGGAGACACAAAATGAGCTCTGTGGTATGTATCCAGTACTCTGCATCAAAATACTTGCATACTTTAGCTAAGATTTTGAAAGTATTCCAGATATTAATTACCGTACTTTGCAGCCAACTTTAAGTAGGTGTTAGACATTTGTGTACTTGGAATCCCTATTTTGAATAATAGTGGCATTGCCTTATTAAAACACCTCTATTTCTGTGTATGCTTGTCACTATCCTGCAAATGAAAACCTTCAGCTGGAACCTTCTGACTTGTACTTTGTTCTTAACTATATACAACACTATAGCTCAGGTCATAGAACATGCATGATTATGGTTTTAAATGGGTGCCTTCTAAGGGAGCAGTCCTAACCCTGGAGGCATGCTGCTGGTAGGAGTTTGGAATTTGTGGAGATTGCCCTCTGCTGGGCTTTCTCTGCCAATGCAGGTCAGCCCATATACTGGAAAGGGACCCAAATTGCTGTGGGATAGCTGTTTCTGCCTGGAGCTGCTACAACAAGCATTGCAAAAATAATGCCCTAACCAACAAGGCAGCAGGGCTTTGGATGTGGTAGTGGCTCCAAGTGGCCATGGACCTGTTAGTTAAGTAGCACCTTAGAGACCAACCTGAAGAAGTATGCATGGACATGAAAGCTTATACCAAGAAGAAACTTAGTTGGTCTCTAAGGTGCTACTAGACATTCTTTTAAATATATTTAGTCTGCGTCAGACCAACACGGCTACCTACCTGAATCTACAACCCTGTTAGAGTTGTTGTACTCGTGCATTAAAATACATAATTCAGACAGAAGGAATTAATAGTTTTGTGATGAATCTTGTATGCCAATTATGAGTCACAGTATTGGTATTACCTGACTTTATTCTTTTATTGTGTATTACTATTTTTCTTGCTTCTGAACTTTATAAAATTTTATTTTCAGATTATGAAAACACCATATGTAGAAAAGTATTCTATGGAGAAGAGTGGATTTTCTTAGGTATGTTAAAATGCTGTTTGGAGACTAAAGTCATAAACTGTAAGGTTACTGTTTAGGAACTTAAAACTGCTCTCTCCTCAACTGTAGTGTGCCTTTACTAGTAAACACCATAAGAGTTCTGCTGGATTAGACTAAAGGTCTACCTAGTCCAGCATTCTTTTCTCAGTGCCCAACCAGATGTGCATGGAAATCCCACAAGCAGGGTGTGGATGCAGTAGCAGTCTCCTGCATGGTATCTTCCATCAATTTGTTCCATTTTAAAACCATCACAAGTTGGCAGACAGCACTACATTTTTTGGGTGTGAATTCCATATGTTAATTATTTGAATAAATACATATTTGTCCTGAGATCTCCCACCATTCAGCTTTGTTGGGTAACCCATGAGGTGTCAAAACTAAAAAGCCCCAAATGTTTTAACCTTGGTTCATGTGAGAGTTGCTCCAGTCCCTTGTGTCACACTCCATACCACTTTGGAAAATAATTTATTTTTTAAAATCAGCACGTGCAGATGTAACATTGTCTCACTGCATGCCATGATCTGCAGATTGGATTCATGCAACTTTCCCTTGATGCCATTAACTATTGTTCTGTTGCATTTGTGCTGCTGTTTTCATGGCTTGTAAACTTGTTTTAAACCATGGCGTGCAGTAATTGGGGTTCTTACCAGAAGGAGAAATATAAGGAAAAACATTTCCCTAATACTGTTGTGCTTTTTTTCAGGCTTGAAGCTACTTTATCCTAAAGGTATGTGAGTTAAATTTTCATATTGAGAATGTATTGTCATTGGTTCAACCAGTGATGAGCCTATCCCGAACCTGATACAGTTTGATGAAAAACTGCCAATATGGATCCGGCTTCTGAGACTACCACCAGTAAACTAGTGTTTGATATGTAGATAATCTATCAAATTCTGTTGACGCTGATGCTACTTTCTGTCTTTCACTTATAGGTTATAGCAGCTGAAATCCAGGCAGCAGTTCCTTATTCCTAACATACATTAAGCAGGTGGAATGTTTTGAATTGGTAAGTTGTATTCAAATGGGCAGGGGGGACATGCTGGTTTGGTGCCACTGCTGGAAGTGCAAAGTTAAGTGTCTAAAACCTTCCTTATGGACTTATCCAAGGCAAGTGTTGGGTGGCCAGTAGGTTGCTGTTACTGGACTGAGCATCTTCCAAGCAGTAGCTGCACTCTACCAGCTTTTGGTGAAGGTCCAGCAGAATTGTTTTGCTGATGTGCCTAAGACACTACAGCCAAGATGGATATTGGACTTCCACCAGTCCCAACAGAGTGGTTAGGAATGATGGGAACTGTAGTCCAGTAATATCTGGAGGGTGACAGGTTTTGTATGCCTGCTCTGTAGACATCTCCATGAAAACCACCAAATAACATGCTGGCTTCGTCTCTAACAACCTGCAGCTTCAAAGTTGGAGAAGATGGTTTGGTATTTTTCACATTTGCCAGATTGTGGTGTCACACTTGATGCAGACAGGGATTATGTGAGCCTGTAAAAATCTTGGAACTGGGCTGGCTTGTTTTTTGTTATTAGAAATCCTCTATAATATATAGCAATAATGGATGGGGTTTTTTTGTACCCCACCCATCTGACTGTTACCCCAGCGACTGGGCAGCTTGCAACAGATTGAAGAAAAACACAACAGAACATCACATTAAAAGCTTCCGATACAGGGCTACCTTTAGATGTTAGCTCTCACTAACGTGCCTTCCAACTGTTTGGGACTAGAATTCCCATCTGCCCCAGCTAGCAGTGTCATGCTTCATGTGATCTGTGGTCCAAAACATCCAGAGGGCCCCAGGTTGATGAAGCCTGCTTTGTTGGGCTTCAGTTTGTTAGCTAAGACCAAACAAGCTTTTATCTTTGTAACTACCATTTAACCTCTGAGCTCCGTGTATAGACATGTGTCATAAAACAGGACTCTTTAAGACATAAATGTTCCAGATTTATAATTAATATTTCTCTGTTGAATATAAGTTATTTAAAAGTTTCATCATTGCTTTCTGAACAGGGAATGGACGGAGAGCCAAGCCTGTAGGCGGAAGACTCAATTCCTTTTTACAGAGCCTATTGCAAAAACAGGTAAGAAAACATTTGCATGTGTGGATTTGCAAGCACTTGAGAATCAAAAGTAGCAACCAATAAAAACCATAGAAATGTTTGAAGTGGACTCTGATACGAATGAAGCTCCAACTGAATTATATTGAAAACAACAGTTGAGCGCCACCAGGATTCACAGTAATAAGACCTGAAACATTAAATAGTTCAGTCTGGGAATAAGTATGTTGCTTAAATGTATTTCTACTGGTCTTAAATTATTGACCTAGAGTACAATAGATGTTCTAATAATCTGCATTAATCTTTTTTTAATTGTGTTTAATTTTTCAGTGATAAGAAGTAAATGCATCAAACAAGGTTATCTGGAATCTACGTGAATGAAGTTCCAGCGTCCATTAAGGAATATCAGATTAATAATAAAGAATAAATGAAAACCTTTCTTGCGGTTAAATGTTTATAACAATTATATGTACCAGTAGGTTTGCTATATTCAAAGTTTGATGTTCTCAAATGGTTCTTTTTCATGTCATGGGATCTTATGTGGCTCTTGAGAATGAAGATTGCAGCAGTGTTTCAGAATAAAGCTTTATAATCACTATTTTAGTTATTTAATGTGTTACTGAAGAAACTTTCCTGAATAATTGGTGGAACTCAAGCAGTTGCAGCACTAAAATGGTTTTGGGGTGTGTAGGTGTAGTTGGCATCTGCAAGGTGTTCAGTTGTGCTACTGCAGATAGTGTAACATTTATATTAAAACTAAAAAATAATAAACCAAATACTCTCCCTAATTAGCATATAAACTATTTTCCCACTTCAGCCTTCCTAGCCCACCTCTGCATAAAGTTTCTGCAGGATCATCAGATCCAAGTAACTGCTGCTGCATTTTTACCTGGATCAAGAGTCAGATAATGCAAAACTCCCCAAGCAGCATTTTTGAGCTTCCATTGCCTTCATGAGATACAACAGTAAATGAGTGGTAGAGCTGTCATTTGCATACCGCCATGGCTTCAGTGGTTTTATATAGATGTTGCCTGGAAAACCCACCTACTGGAGGGCCTTTTCTGTGGAACTGTCTATTGGGATTTCTTTAACCATTACTGTTCTTTTTAAACCAAGAGGTATGCTTTCTGCAGGCATCAGCTCTATCACTCTAGAACTGAAGCCTGCTGTACTTTTAAGGCCCCCAATGGTGCACTAGCAGGGGCAGATGACTGGTTTACATGAAAATTATATTTGCAAAAATTTACATACCAATTGATTGGGGTGGGGGAGTCTAGGTAAATGTGAAATACCAAACAAAAATGTTTTAAGCAGGATATAAAAAATAGGGAAGCAGCCTGCCTGATATCAATAGGCAATGACTTCTAAAGTGTAAATGTAGCCACAATAAAAGATCAGTTTCTTACAACTAAAGAATGAGTATTATGTGGCACCTGTAACAATGCCAGTTCTGTAGATCGAAACATTTGAGTAGGCATATTTGGGGTAAGGCCATCTCATAAACTGGTCCCAAGCTGTTAATGACTTTAAGTAAAGTTAACGGTACCCCTGCCCGTACGGGGCCTCACTCAAGAGGCCGGGGGCCAGCGCTGTCCGGAGACACTTCCGGGTCATGTGGCCAGCGTGACATCGCTGCTCTGGCGAGCCAGAGCCACACACGGAAACGCCGTTTACCTTCCCGCCAGTAAGCGGTCCCTATTTATCTACTTGCACCCGAGGGTGCTTTCGAACTGCTAGGTTGGCAGGCGCTGGGACCGAGCAACGGGAGCGCACCCCACCGCGGGGATTCGAACCGCCGACCTTTCGATCGGCAAGCCCTAGGCGCTGAGGCTTTTACCCACAGCGCCACCCACGTCCCTTGTTAATGACTTTACATAGTAATAATTACCACATTAACCTTGGCCTGGTAGGAAATGGGCAACCAGCACAGATCTCTTGAGCAAAGCTGTTATATGCAGATAGGTTCTCACTCCAGTCAGCAACGTTGCTGCAGCATTTTCCACTAACTGCAGCTTTTGGATCAAGTGCAAAAGAAGCATTACACTACAGTAATCCAACCTAAAAGGTCCGTTAGGTCCAGTCGTGGACAACTCAGGTTACGGCACTCATCTCACTCTATAGGCCGAGGGAGCTGGCGTTTGTCCGCAGACAGCTTGACTAAGCCACTTCTGGCAAACCAGAGCAGCCCACGAAAAACGCTGTTTACCTTCCTGCTGGAGCGGTACCTATTTATCTGCTTGCACTTTGATGTGCTTTCGAACTGCTAGGTTGGCAGGAGCAGGGACTGAGCAACAGGAGCTCACCCCATCAGGGGGATTTGAACCGCTGACCTTCTGATCGGCAAGTCCTAGGCTCTGTGCCCACAGCGCCACCTGCGTCCCTAGAATTTACCAAATGGCTTCACAGGACAAGTATGAACCCACTAGATTTGGCTAGAACAGGCATGGCCAAACTTGGCCCTCCAGATGTTTTTCAGACTACAACTCCCATCATCCCTAGCTAACAGGACCAGTGGTCGGGGATGATGGGAATCGTAGTCCCAAAACATCTGGAGGGCCAAGTTTGGCCATGCCTGGGCTAGAGGGTCAGAAACAACCCCACCCCTGCTTTAGACACTAGCCTGTGTCCTGTCCCTACCACCTTCACAATTCAGCTGTCCCTCAGCTGGCCTTCCTGGGAACTGAGGATTCAGCTCAACTTTACCTCAGCTGCCCTTCATGGGAATTCAGGAGTGTACGGAAAGTAGCATTAACTGGCAGCAGTGACTGTCTTCCTGTTTAAAGCTGTTTATCTACTTGACAATATAATTATTATTAGTTGCTGCTACTACTGTTACTAATTTTAAATTGAATAGTACCAAGCTTTGCTAGGCTATGATAGTGTGTGCAATTATTATTTTTTTAAATGGAATGTCGAGTTTCGCTGTTATGTCTTAACTGCAGTGCCGGTTAACTACATTTTTATTCAACAGCAGCTTCTGGTACACATCCAGGTTCCCTGAACGACTTTACATCGAACTTTAAAAAATCCCCACAAATTAAATACATCTCTAATACACAGTATACACAAAAATTAAATAACGTAACAAAGCGTAAAAGCAACATTGAACTAATCGTCAAGAAGTTTATTGCAATAGCCGTGACAATCCGAAATAACTACGTTCAGAACGCAAAAGTTCCCTCAGTTCTCGAACGTGCGCAAGTGTCCCAGAGCGCTAATTAGGAGTCGCCCAAAGAGCGGGCGGCGGCGGCAGGGCAAGGGGGGCGCGCGCGCAGCGGAGGCGGGCAGCAGCGCACGGAACGTTCTTTTCTCTCGCCTTCCGCAACGTTACAGCGTGCCGAGGACCGCCAGCCACCGTCTGCCTGCCGTAGGCGCATGCGCGGCCTCCCATTGGTCCGCCGCCTTGCCTAAGAATCTAGCTTTGCCAAAGTTAGCGGGCGGGGCGATAACCCTTGTGGATCTGCTCGGGAGACCCCGGCGTTGGGGCTGCGCCAGCGCGCGCGCGCGTTCTCTTTCTCCCTCACACGGCGGCGGCGGCGGCGCCTCCTCCTCCCTCCCTCCTCGCGGCTTCTCCCCGCCCTGCCTGAGCCGAGTGGAAGGGGGCTGGGGTTGGTTGGTGCCAGCAGCGGCGTGAGCGCTCGAGCGGCCGCCATTTTACGCAGGCTCCTGCCACATTCTCAGGACACGCTGAGGGAGCGGAGAAGGGGCAGCTCCGCAACCGCGCCCCCCGCCCGCGTCACCCCCTCCCTCTCCGGAGCCCTTTCGCGCGCCGCTCATCGTCCCTCCGCCGCCGCCAGCCCCTGCCGCTCGCCCCACACAGGTCAGCAGCCACCGGGGCTCGTCAGGCGCTGTGGAGAAGGGAGGGGAGAGGGAGAGTCGGCGGGGGGGGGGGTTGGCTATGGGGGGTGGAGAGAAAGAAGGGGCCCGAAGAGAAGGTTCTCCCCCGGAGGAGCGGGCCGGGAGCCCGTGGAAAACGGAGGGAGAGCGGGAGGCAGCCTGCCGCCCGGCCGGTTCCGGCGAGGTGGGAGCTTGGATAAACAAAAGAGGCCGGCGGCGGCCCTGTCCCGCGCAGCTTCTCCCGGCACTTAGCCACGCTGGATGGCGGGTGAAGCTAGGCCGCACGATGTGGAGGGAAACGAGGGGAAGCCCTCCCTGCTCGCCCCCCCTCTCCCTCCCGCGAGGGGCTCCAGCTGCCTCATTGTCCAGGCGGCAGCGCCATTCATTGGCCACGAGGCGCCTCCGGGGTGGGGTGGGACATGGTGGGAAGGCTGGAATGAGCAGGGCAGGCAGCCGCCGCCGATGCCAATGTGGCTGCGGGACGACTTCTTTTTCTAATGGTGGTGGTGGGGTTTTGCCGCGTGCCTCGTGTCACGTAACGGGCCTGAGCCTGGGATCCGTGTCTTTCCAACGCTCGAGTTGGAAGAAGCATGGTGGGAAGAAGGGAGGGAGGGTCTGGATTCTGTGCGTGCGTTTTTACCCGGCGGGAGGAGGAAAGGCATGGGAAGGCAGTCATTTTTTTCCGGCCCCCCCCCCCCGTCCTTTCCACATGGCGAAATCGGGCCCAGGGTGTTGCAATTCTTCTCCCGGAGGGAAAAGTGGGGGAGGAGGAGGAGGGACAGGCTGCTTTTCCGGGAGGGGGGGTGGGGTGGGGTGGAGGGAAGTTGGTCGCTGGAGGAAGTTGTAAGACATTTGAACGCGCCGAGCACGTGTTTCCAGCGGGCATATGGCGGCTGCCGCCGCTTGGGCTGGGTGCGGACTGGGAAGCGCTTTGTTCCTTTCGCCTGGTTGCTTTTAGGCCCTGTCAAAGAGGCGGGAAGAAGCTGTAGCGTAGGCAGCGGAACGGGATTTCGCGAGAGGTGCGAAGGGTTGAATGAAGCGATTCGGGTAAAAGCAGCAGGGAATGGCAGTGGCTGTGTCGCGCGTTGGTGGCTGCACGTTCTTCCGCGCCTTTTGCTTCTTGTTCCATTTCTAACTTCTCGAAGAGCTGCTTAGGGCGTTTTAGAGAGACAGAGAAGGGAGGTGAGCTAGAGAGTTCGGCTGGATTGTGTAAAATCTGCAATAAAATCTTAATATCCTCGCTAGGCTTTGGTTATAGGGTATGCCTTTGCACTATTTGTCTTTCTCTTGAAAAAGCCTTGCGTGCTTTCTGATTGCAAAAGTAGTAGGGAAAACGGCTTAAACTCTGCGAGTCCCTAGCAGGTAGCTTGCATGTATTGATTGATACACCAATAGTTCGGCTTTAAGGTTTATAGCTTAATTATGATGCTTATTGCGTTTGAACAGATATCTGGAAACATGGCTTCTGAACATGTTAATGGGAATGGTACTGAAGAGCCGATGGATACTTCTGCTGCAGTTACCCATTCTGAGCATTTCCAGACATTGCTTGATGCTGGTTTACCACAGAAAGTTGCTGAAAAACTAGATGAAATTTACGTTGCAGGTAAGATGTAAAACTTGCAAAGTCACATTTTCAATATTTTCTATTGGACTTTTCCTTGCTTTGGGCTAAAATAGCAACTTTTTGTGGTTTCCAAACAAAAAACAAAAACCCAAAGATGGGGACTGCAGTCTTCTTAGCAAGTGTTTGGATGATAA